AACTTCTCGAATGCACAAACCGCGTCGTTTCGACGGGTCATTGCCACGAGCTCCGACTTCTTCGCCAGCAGCCGTGTCTCGAGCACCCGCAGCGAAACTTTGAGTCGACTTGCAAACTGGAGATTGCGTGCACATTTCCCCAAAGTATCTTTTGTTTTCAATTATTTTGAATTAATTTTGAATTATATTCCGAATTTCGGGGCTTTTATTTGCAAATCTGCTCACTTCTTCAGCTTCCGCCGCCTGGCGCTGCGCCGTTTCGTACCTGATGGCCAAATTCAACTTCTGCACAAGTGAAACTTGAACACAGAGCTGACCGCTTCATTTCCTGCTGCATTTCGAAACTCAGTTTGGAATATTCTCTTTCCAACCTCTCGTTGTCCTTCAGTCCTTCATAATTGAGTTGTTTCCGCGCTCGTTTCCGCAGCTGCAGTTCAACTCTGCACACAGCCTCCAGATCTGAATCCGGCAAGTCAAAAGGCATTTCAAAGCTGCAGCAGCAGCAAATCGAAACCTCCTGAGCTTATTTATGCGCTTACGGGCCTGCAGAACTTCTGTTGATTTATTTTCTTGAATCAATTCTCCAATTTTTGCAGCACTTTCCGCCAGATCAGCTGCCGCGGCCAGCGAGCGAAAGCGGCTTTCCTCGCGGCCCAGCAGGCGCTTCAGCTGGGCCACAGAGCCCAGCCCAGCGGCACTCGTAAGCGAGTCCACTATTTGGACAGAGTCTCTGGCGCTTTCATTCATTTTAAAATTTTTAACTTTTAATTTCTACTTTGCAATAAAACGAAAGTGTGCACTGACAGCGCTGGCTCTGTTCTTATTGCCCCGCCCAGGTGTCTGCAAACGTGAACTGCAGATCCTGAATGGCTCGCGAACTGCTGCTGCTGCTGCTTCTCTACTTCTCCTCTTCTTCGCTTTCTATTCATTCAAAAGAGTTTTTAAATTCGGCTTTTTCGCCGCAGTAAATCTGCGTTTCAAATGAAAGAAACTCCTGCACGATGGCCTTCGTCTAGATCCGCACGCAGAGCTGGATCCGCCACTTGCTGATTCCCAGGACGACTCTCCCGGCTGCAGCTCCTTCAGAAATAAATATTTTAAATTTAAAGTTCAAAAATATATTTCCGAGGAAAGCAGCTCCATTTGCATGCCGCTAATGGCTGAAACACGAAAATGCGAAATCCGCCCGCTAGGCTTGCTGCTCTTTCCACAGCAGCACAAGAGTGCAGCTGAGCAGCATTAAAGTGCGCAGCTGCATGCAGCACCTGGGCGCGACTGCGCCTCCTCAGCTGCTGCTGCTGCTGCTGCTGCAGAGGCGTGGACCAGTGGTCCATGACCAGTGGTCCGCTACCACTTGAGGTCGGAAACAGCCACTGTGGGGCCCCGCTTGCCCCCCTTCTTCGCACTGAAGCTGCAGCGCAGCAAAAGCGTGACTCTGGGGGCGAGCCAGAAGCGCAGGGGCAGCGCAGCAGCTGTGTCTGTGCACAGCAGCTGCTGCGCGGCCTCCAGGGCCTGCTGCTGCTGCAGCAAGCCTTCGAACTGGCCCAGTGCTGCTGCTGCTGCTTCCCCCCCCTCCGCCCCGTAGCAGCAGCCAAACAAGTACAAATATGCTGGCAGCACCAGCGGGTGTTCAAAAGGCTGCAGCAAAGGGAACTCTGCATGCAGCAGCCGCGTCAGACTCGTCAGCGGCTCCCGGTTCTTCCCGATTATCTTCGGCCCCCCCCCTGCTGCTGCTGCTGCTGCTGCTGCTGCTGTCTGCTGCGGCGGGGCTGCTTCACTTAATTCTCTCTCGCAGCTAATTGACTGCCCCCCCCCGTTGAGGCAGCCCCCCGGGCATGCGGCGATTTCGACTAAGTGGGGCACTACGGAGCCAATGGCTTCGGGCTCAATCAAGCTGCTGCTGCTGCTGCTGCTGCTGCTGCTGCTGCTGCTGTCGGGGGGCAGCAGCTGCCGCAGCTGCTGCGCCACGTTTTGAATGTTGCGGAAGCCGTAGGCAAAAGCACCCCGCAGCAGCGCCGGGCTGGAGTCGCTCCAGAGCCCGCGGCGGCGGCCCCTGCTGCTGCTGGCGGGGCCTGTGCTTCCCGCTGCTGCTGCTGCTGCTGCTGCTGCTGCTGGGGCCTGCTGCGCGGGGAAGAGGGCCAGCGACTGCAGCTCCTCGTTGGGCCCTCTTACAAATTCAAAAGCTGCTGCTGAGAGCTGCTGCCCGAAGAAGCCCCGGGCAATTTGCGTAAACAAAA